GAAGCCGTGAGAGTGTATGAGTTGGCCAAGGGAGGAGGTGTAGATGGAGAAGAGAAGGGGCCCAAGGACAGAGCCTTGAGGGACCCCAACAGAGAGGGGGAGTGAGGGGGAGGTGGTAGCATTATAGGTAACGCTGAAAGAGCGTTGTGACAGGTAGGATGAGAGCCAGGAGAGAGCAGAATCTCTGAGGCCGAGGGGAGTGTAGTATTTTGAGGAGGAGGGGGTGGTCAACTGTGTCGAAGGCCGCAGAGAGGTCAAGGAGTAGGAGCACTGAATAGTGGCCATTAGCTTTGGCGGTTAGAAGGTCGTTGGAGAGTTTGAGTAAGGCAGTTTCGGTGGAGTGTAGGGGGCGGAAGCCAGACTGTAGGGGATCGAGGAGGTTGTTGTCGTTGAGGTGAGAGCATAGGCGGGTGTAGACGAGACGCTCGAGGAGTTTAGATGTAAGTGGGAGCAGGGAGATGGGTCTGAGGTTGTTCGGGTCATTGGGGTCCAGGGAGGGCTTTTTAAGTATGGGGGTGATGTGTGCATGCTTCAGTGGGGAGGGGAAAGTGCTGGAGGAGAGGGAGAGATTAAAGATGTGGGTGAGGGAGCGTAGGATGGAGGGGGAGGGAGGTCGTAGGAATTGTGAGGGGATAGGGTCGAGGGGGCAGGTGGTGAGGCGGGCATCAGAGAGGATCTTGGAGACTTCCTCAATGGTAGTAAGGTCAAAGGTGTGGAGTGTTGGGGGAGCTTCAGTATGAGGAATGTAGGGTGGGGTGGGAGTGGAGGTCAGAGCAGTGGTGGGGCCGTGGGAGAGGGGTGATGAGGGGGTAGCCGAGTGAGGGGGAATGGGGTCGGAGGGAGTTTGAGCAGTGACGAAGTCCCTGCGGGTAATGTCGAGGGGGGGGGGGGGATGAGGGGGGGTAGCTGTGTGAGAGGGGACGGGTTGAGAGGGCGTGTGAGTTGCGGCAATGTCCTTGCGAATTGTGTCAATCTTGTTTTTGAAGTGATTGGCAATCTCAAGGGCGGTGAGTGAGGTGCTGGGTGGAGGTGGGGGTGGAGAGAGTAGAGAGTTGAAGGTGGAGAAGAGTCGGCGAGGATTGGAGGAGAGGGCCTTGATGAGGGTCAGGAAGTAGGCTTGTTTGGCTGCGTGGAGGGAGGAGGTGTAGGTGCGGAAGGCAGATTTGTAGCAGGTGAAAGCTTGTTGGGATTTTGTTTTGCGCCATAGTCGCTCCAGGGCACGACTGCGTCGTTTGAGGGTTTTGGTGTGATCAGTCTGCCAGGGCTGGAGCGGTCGGAGTCTGATGTTGCGTGTGGTTAAAGGCGCTAGTGAGTCAAGGGCTGCTGACAGCGCGTTGTTGTAGGCAGTCATAGCCAAGTCGGGGCAGGACAGGGGGAGGATGCGGTCGTGGAGTTGATCAGCTGCAGAGTGGAGGGGGGCAATATATATATATATATTTACTGCATGTTGAAATGAGTTTTTATTACAATATATAATTTTAAAAATACATTTAAAATATACATCCTGTGAGATGTGAGCAAGGGCAGGCTGAGCCGCTCTGTGTGTGTCAACAGATGCACACAGCCTGGCTTGGGAGTGAGCTTGCTGGTGCACCCCATAGGAAGCTGCTTCCTATGGTGGTACACAAGAACAGGAGGAACCAAGAGCGCCATGGGGGGACCCCAGAATTCATGCACACAGCCCAGCTCAGGAGTGAGCCTTCTGGTGTGCCCCACACAAAGCAGTTTTCTATGGTGGTGTACAAGAAGAGGAGGAACCAAGACTGCCATTGGGGGACCCCAGAAGCAGAGGTTCTAGAGTCCTGTGAGATGTGAGCAAGGACAGGCTGAGCCGCTCTGTGTGTGTCAATAGATGCACACAGCCCAGCTCAGGAGTGAGCCTGCTGGTGCGCCCTATATGAAGCAGTTTCCTATGGTGGTGTACAAGAAGAGGAGGAACCAAAAGCGCCATTGGGGGACCCCAGAAGCAAAGGTTCTAGAGTCCTGTGAGATGTGAGCAAGGGCAGGCTGAGCCGCTCTGTCTGTGTCAATAGACGCACACAGCCCAGCTCCAGGCTGGTGCGTCACCATAGGAAGCAGATTTCTATAGTGGTGCAGAAGAAGAACTGAGAGCACCATCGGAGGACCCCAGAAGAGGAGGATCGGGGTCACTGCACACAGCAGGTAAGTAGAACATGTTTGTTATTGAAAAAAAATGGAAGCCATGCCCTTTACAATCCCTTTCATTTATTAAAAAATGTTCACATTTAAGTGCATTTTGAACAGCGATTCCCCCTGGAGACCCATCGTGCTCAATCTCTCCCTCTGTTAGCCACACATTCGCCAAGCTGCATATAGGAAGCTTAGGCAAAAATTCTCATTTGCACTGTTTTTTTTTCCTAATAAATATGCAAATTGGCGAAAGCTCATCATACATTCTGTGCGGGAAACTTCGTATGCCGAAGTTCAGCTCATCGCCGTCTGCGGAGGTACAGCCGGGGCAACAACTGACAGCATCCGCAGCGTGACAACCCCGCGCACCTGCAGCATCCCCCCTTAGAAGTTTCCACTCCAGACTTGCAATCATACAGTCACTTACATAGGGAGAGATTAGCGCACGGATCAATCAAACGTCTGACGCCGAGCCGCAGATACCGGCTATTCATTAATGAGCTCATTAGTTTGTCAGAAGTAGCTTGTCACGGGGAAGTAATTGGCTGTTTGATTATTTAATTAGTTTGTTATGGGATTGTAATTGCACGCGCATAAAGCCCTCGTTTACATGGGGAGTGACAAATTTGGGGGTCTGGGAAGGACAGTGTAATTATTACTTTGCTTGATCTTGCATGTCTAAAAGTTTTCCGTTGACGGTTCCAATCTGCTGTAGTAATTTCACGTCAGCTTGAGCTTAGTCAGCCTGTGTTGAGAAGACTGAAAAGGCGTAACGCAGCAGTCGGGATTTCAGGTTGGGGTTTGCTTTATAGAAGAATTCCAGGAAACAAGTGAAGGATCATACAGGACCAAATTAAAGGAGGTGCTCTTTGGAGAGCCTTCCTTTCGGGTCTACTTTGACCATTGGAGAAGCAATGAAGATGAAAAATGTAAAGATGGTTCAAGATTTTGGAGAGCCTTCACCTTGGGCCTACTTTGACCAGTGGATAAAGAATGAAGATGAAAAATGTAAAGGTGATTCACAGGATTTTGGAGAACCTTCCCTTTGGGCCTACTTTGACCACTGGAGAAGGAATGAAGATGAAAAATGTAAAGATGGTTCACAGGATTTTGAAGAACCTTCCCTTTGGGTTTACTTTGACCATTGGAGAAGGAATGAAGATGAAAAATGTAAAGACGGTTCACAGGATTTTGGAGAACCTTCACTTTGGGTCTACTTTGACCATTGGATAAGGAAGGAAGATGAAAAATGTAAATATGGTTCACAGTATTCTGGAGAACCTTTTCCTTGAGTCTACTTTGACCATTGGATAAGGAATAAAGATGAAAAATAATGTAAAGACAGTTCACAGGATTTTGGAGAGCCTTCCCCTTGAGTCTACTTTGACCATTGGATAAGGAATGAAGATGAAGAATGTAAAGATGGTTCAAGATTTTTGAAAGCCTTCAGCTTGGGCCTACTTTGACCATTTGATAAGGAATGAAGATGAAAAATGTAAAGACAGTTCACAGGATTTTGGAGAGCCTTCCCCTTCAGTCTACTTTGACCACTGGAGTGCCATTGAAAGTACTGGCAGGGATTCTCCGAGCACCATTGGAAGTACTGGCATGGATTCCGCGGGTTCTGTTGGAAGTACTGGCAGAGATTCTATGAGCACCATTGGAAGTACTGGCATGGATTCTGCGGGTTTTGTTGGAAGCACTGGCAGTGATTCTTTAAGTCCTAGCACGGATTCCGCGAGTGCCATTGAATGCACTTGCAGGGTTTCTACGAGTACCATTGGAAGTACTGGCATGGATTCTGCAAGTGCCATTGGAGGTACTGGCATGGATTCTGCAAGTGCCATTGGAGGTACTGGCATGGATTCTGCGAGTGCCATTGGAGGTACTGGCATGGATTCTAGAAGTCCTGGCAGGGATTCTGGGAGTGCCATTAAATGTACTGGAAGTGATTACACAAGTACCATTGGAAGCACTGGCAGGGATTCTGCGAGTGCTTCCATTGGAAGTACTGGCAGAGATTTTTTAAATCCTGGCAGGGATTCTGCAAGTACAACTGGAAAGTATTGGCAGGGATTCTATGAGTACAATTTGAAGTACTGGGCAGAAATTCTAGATCCCCCTGCTACATGGCAGAGCGGTGTAAGTGTCAAAACTGGATGGACAGATCCTTTGACAGGTAAACTAGGCACCTCATATGTATTTCATCAGTGCATACAGCTATTTCCATGGAGTTCAAGTTCACCTTTTACATAAACTGACCCATGCAGACAAGAGGCCCCAGTAGATGGCAATGCATCAGGAGCAATTGTGCAGTGTGCTCTCTCCTTCTCTATCCTAGCAACACTGAGATCATCTTCTGCTGGGTTGGAGAGAGGATGCACTGCGCATGCGCAGGTTTTGCGCTGGCAGCATTTTCAGAGTACTGGGGCCCTTCTGAATCAGGAGGTGCAGCTTTTCGGCTTCTGAGCCAGGAAGCACCCTTGCTCCTGTGAAGCTTGGGGTGAATGCCTAATGCTTGCCATTGCAAAGACATAGGAATTTGTATATTATTAGGAGTTTTTCAGACAGGTTTCATGTGTTACAAAAAAGGTCAACAGGTATGACATTTAAATTAAACAAAATTTTTACAAATGGCACAGTGTAATTGAAACTTCCACTTTGTTATAATCCCACTAACAGTTGGTCGTGGAATATTTAGTAGCCAGGAAATGTCACGGATGGACTTATTGCCCAGGTGGCCACCTATCACGGGACCACGCTTGGAGTCACTGAGCTCCTGAGAGCGACCCATTCTTTCACCAATGTTTGTAGATTGGTCACTCCAGAGAACACGCCTCCACTGCTCTAGAGTCCAGTGGTGGCTGTGCTTTACACCACGGCATCCAACGCTTTGCATTGCACTTGGTGATGGAAGGCTTGGATGCAGCTGCTCGGCCATGGAAACCCATTCCATGAAGCTCTCTACGCACTGTTGTTGGGCTCATCTGAAGGCCACACCAAGTTTGGAGGTCTTTAGCTATTGACTCTGCAGACAGTTGGCGACTTCTGCGCACTGTGCGCTTCAGCATGCGCTGACCCCATCCTGTCATGTGACGTGGCCTACCACTTGGTGGCTGAGTGGCTGATGTTCCCAGTTGCTTCCACTTTGTTATAATCCCACTAACAGTTGAGCGTGGAATATTTAGTAGCCAGGAAATGTCACGGATGGACTTATTGCCCAGGTGGCCACCTATCACGGGACCACGCTTGGAGTCACTGAGCTCCTGAGAGCGACCCATTCTTTCACCAATGTTTGTAGAAGCAGTCTGCATGCCTAGGGGCTTGATTGTATACACCTGTGTCCATGGAGGGGATTGGAACACCTGAATGCCCAAAACTTTTGGCAATATAGTGTAATCTCCTACCTGGAAATCATCCAGTCACATTCTCTCCCAAGAGATGCACACTGCCCAGGCATATCCCACTGTTGTCACCATATAAAAACAAGACCTGTGAAAAAACCCAACAAAAAAACATGAGTAGCTAGCAACAATTAGAATATATACCCTGTGAAAAAACACATGCAACCTGCTACCACTGTAGTGCATGAGGATAGGGAAAGGCTGTAAAGAGGCTGTAGGACATAGGACATCAAGCAGTGTTAGGATGTAACAAAGGATGAAACGGAAAACCACCTCCAATTCATATATTCAGTAACGGTTTACATCCTCCTTTACCAGACCTGCAAATGCTTACAAGCCTTACACTAATCCAGGGGCGGACTGACAACTCATGGGGCCCCCGGGCAATAGGGGATCATGGGGCCCCTGTGTCCTTGCCCAAACTCAAAAAAGCTCATGAAAAAGGTACCAGGGACATCTCATGGGGCCCCCTACTGACCCCAGGCCCTCGGGCAGTGCCTGAGTTTCCGAATGGTCAGTCCGCCCCTGTGTTCCTTGTAATTGGGGGCATGGTAGGAGTGTGGCCTTTTTTAACTTAATTTTTGCTAATCTCTCCATATGCACTTTTTCAGCAGTGTTCCCGGTGCTTTCTCTATCATAGCTAAAGCATACTGTTAAAAAGGTTACTTGGAACCCACCCTTTTATAATGATTTTGGGGGGGATTTTTCAAAAGCCCACTTCATTGGCCTTTCTAAACCTACTGACCTAGGTTCAAAGTCCAAAGAGTGCATTATGGTTCCTATGGCATATATCAGCCAGGAGCCTTCAAACACACAGGATTCGCTGCAAACCCAATCTTAATCCCTTATAAATTTTTATAAATGGCACAGTGCACTTGAAACCATGGCGGCCCTTGTGATTCAAGAAGGCAAGGCTTTTGTGACCTAACGTTTGCCATGACCTGGAAATAGGCAAGGACATGGGAAGGAAGCAAGCTTGCTCCTGTGATGCTCGGGGTGAGGGCCTAACGTTTGCCATGACCTGGAAATAGGCAAGGACATGGGAATCTATACATTGGGAGTATTCCAGACAGGTTTTGTGTGATTCAAGAAGGCACGGCTTTTGAACCAGGCAGCAAGCTTTCTCCTGTGATGCTCGGGGTGAGGGCCTAACGTTTGCCATGACCTGGAAATAGGCAACACAAGTTTAAAAAATACATTTGTACTTGGAAGACCTCTCTAAATGCTACAAGTAAAATATTCATTTTTACTTTTCGGTCTGAAAGTGTCAGACTGACGATGGATACACACTGGCGGAACACTTAGTATTTCCCTTCCGCGTCTCATTAACAGCGGACAGTTTCAAAAACGTAACCACTTAAAAGTGTGCAATTAGGCAATGTGCTTGTTCAGGAATACTTAGCACGTCTTAGTCATTATGAAGCAATCCAGAGTGTGCAAGTTTCAGCTTGTTAGCAGATTAAAGTTTTTTTTTGTTTTTTTTTATCTTGCGCAGCCAATGGCATGCGTGGTTACATTTTCTAACTGCATGTTCTGTCGAGTTCCATGTAAAAAAAAAAAAAAAAAAAAAAGAGAGCTGAGGTCACCCCGACCTCCACTAAACTATTCATTTCAATAAGGATTAAGTCTTTAGCTAGTAGGAGCCTTAAAGTATTTATCACAGCGAAATCTTCCAAAAAGGTTTAGACAAACATCACAAATGAAAGTATAATTGCGCAATGCTGGATTTCATGCCATATGCAGTCCGATGGAAGTTTCATTCATTCTGTTGCACCTCCATCATGACCTGACCAACAGACATAATTATAATGCAATTATACAAGAATCTGTACGGTACATAGAACTCTGTGTGCCAATAGACCTGGATAATGGTCATAATAAAATATTACCTCGCTCTGTACAGATCTTGAATAAAATACCTGTAACATGCTCTACACACATGGACATTGCTAAAATACAAATCTGTACAGTGCAAGAACATTAGATATCCGACATGACCCAACCATTAAACATGATCATAAATTTATTGCCATCATACTCTACAGAACACTAGGAATATTACATCTCCAACATGACCCAGCCATTGGACATGATCATAATTTACTTCCATCATACTCTACAGAGCACTTGGAATATTACATCTCCAAACATGACCCAACCATTAAACATGATCGTAATATACTTCCATCATACTCTACAGAGCTCTTGGAATATTATATCTCCAATATGACCCAGCCATTGGACATGATCATAATTTACTTCCATTATTCTCTACAGAGTACTTGGAATATTACATCTCCAACATGACCCAACCATTGGACATGATCGTAATATACTTCCATCATACTCTACAGAGCTCTTGGAATATTACATCTCCAACATGACCCAGCCGTTGGACATGATCATAATTTACTTCCATCATACTCTACAGAGCACTTGGAATATATTACATCTCCAACATGACCCAGCCGTTGGACATGATCATAATTTACTTCCATTATTCTCTACAGAGTACTTGGAATATTACATCTCCAACATGTCCCAGCCATTGGACATGATCTTAATTTACTTCCATCATACTCTACAGAATACTTGGAATATTACATCTCCAACATGACCCAGCCATTGGACATGATCATAATTTATTGCCATCATACTCTACAGAATACTTGGAATATTACATCTCCAACATGACCCAGCCATTGGACATGATCATAATTTACTTCCATCATACTCTACAGAGTACTTGGAATATTACATCTCCAACATGACCCAGCCCATTGGACATGATCATAATTTACTTCCATCAAACTCTACAGAGTACTTGGAATATTACATCTCCAACATGACCCAGCCGTTGGACATGATCATAATTTACTTCCATCAAACTCTACAGAGTACTTGGAATATTACATCTCCAACATGTCCCAGCCGTTGGACATGATCATAATTTACTGCCATCATACTCTACAGAGTACTTGGAATATTACATCTCCAACATGACCCAGCCGTTGGACATGATCGTAATTTACTTCCATCACACTCTACAGAGCTCTTGGAATATTACATCTCTCCAACATGACCCAGCCGTTGGACATGATCATAATTTACTTCCACTTCCATACATATTCCACATGAGCACTTGGAATACTCTCCAACATGACCCAGCTCTTGGACATGATCGTAATTTACTGCCATCAAATCTTGGAATATTACATCTCCAACATGACCCAGCCGTTGGACATGATCATAATTTACTTCCATCATACTCTACAGAGCTCTTGGAATATTACATCTCCCAACATGACACAACCATTGGACATGATCGTAATTTACTTCCATCATACTCTACAGCAGTGGTTCTCAAACTTCCTAATGCCGTGACTCTTTAATACAGTTCCTCATGTTGTGGTGACCCCCAACCATAAAAATTATTTACCCAGTAATTATAATTCATGAGTGTCGTTTTACCTCCAATACTGCTGCTTTCAACACAGTAGCTGCTTTTAACAGAGTAGCTGCTTTCAACATAGCAGCTGCTTTCTACACAGTAGCTGCTCTTTACACATCGGAAATATGTGTTTTCTGATGGTCTTAGGGGACCCATGTGAAAGGGTCGTTCGACCCCCAAAGGGGTCGCGACCCACAGGTTGAGAACCACTGCTCTACAGAGTACTTGGAATATTACATCTCCAACATGACCCAGCCATTGGACATGATCACAATTTACTTCCATCATACTCTACAGAGTACTTTGAATATTACATCTCCAACATGTCCCAGCCATTAAACATGATCATAATTTATTGCCATCATACTCTACAGAATACTTGGAATATTGCATCTCCAACATGACCCAGCCGTTGGACATGATCATAACTTACTTCCGTCATACTCTACAGAGTACTTGGAATATTACATCTCCAACATGAATATAACATCTCCTCCAACATGCCACCAGCCACTGGACATGATCGTAATTTACTTCCATCATACTCTACAGAGTACTTGGAATATTACATCTCCAACATGACCCAGTGGTTGGACATGATCGTAATTTACTTCCATCATACTCTACAGAGTACTTGGAATATTACATCTCCAACATGACCCAACCATTGGACATGATCGTAATTTACTTCCATCATATTCCACAGAGCACTTGGAATATTACATCTCCAACATGTCCCAGCCATTGGACATGATCATAATTTACTTCCATCATACTCTACAGAGCACTTGGAATATTACATCTCCAACATGTCCCAGCCATTGGACATGATCATAATTTACTTCCATCATACTCTACAGAGCACTTGGAATATTACATCTCCAACATGACCCAGCCATTGGACATGATCATAATTTACTTCCATCATACTCTACAGAGCTCTTGGAATATTACATCTCCAACATGACCCAGCCATTGGACATGATCGTAATTTACTTCCATCATCATACTCTACAGAGCTCTTGGAATATTACATCTCCAACATGACCCAGCCATTGGACATGATCGTAATTTACTTCCATCATACTCTACAGAGCTCTTGGAATATTACATCTCCAACATGACCCAGCCGTTGGACATGATCGTAATTTACTTCCATCATACTCTACAGAGCTCTTGGAATATTACATCTCCAACATGACCCAGCCGTTGGACATGATCGTAATTTACTTCCATCATACTCTACAGAGCTCTTGGAATATTACATCTCCAACATGACCCAGCCATTGGACATGATCGTAATTTACTTCCATCAAACTCTACAGAGTACTTGGAATATTACATCTCCAACATGACCCAGCCATTGGACATGATCATAATTTACTTCCATTATTCTTTACAGAGTACTTGGAATATTACATCTCCAACATGACCCAGCCATTGGACAAGATCATAATTTACTTCCATCATACTCTACAGAGCTCTTGGAATATTACATCTCCAACATGAC